GAGCATAAACTTTTGTGGGTAAGAACCTCACTTCTTGCATCTGAAGAAGTGAGGTTCTTACCCACAAAAGTTTATGCTCCCAATACTTCTGTTAGTCTTAAAGGTGCCACAGGACCCTCTGTTGGATATGAACTGACCGCTTTTGTGGGAACAATAACAGAAGGGGACTGAAGAAAAGGAACATCTGTATTGCTTGGTTTTAATCAAATTTCACTTGCAGAGTTTTTGATAGATATAAGCCAATGTGAGATCACAGAATCATAGAACTGTCGGGCTGTAATGGAACTCAAGAGGTTATCTAGCCAACACCCCTACACTAAGATAGGGCTATCCCTAGACAGTCCTTGACAGGTGCTTGTCTAACATATTATTTAAAACCTGTAATGATGGATCCATTTCTTTTACAGCTGACTAAAGCCAGTGGGCTCACAAGCAACAAGGATTGTTAATGGCTTCTGTCATAAGGGTGAGTTGCCCACCACATTGAAACAAGCAGTGAGTAAGTGAGATCCTACCTGAAGAAGTCCCTTTTAGATAATGGTACCAATAAGAACAGTATCAGTCAGCTCCTGGGATTGACAGTATATTGAAAATAGAGCTCCTTTTAGTCATACGCAGTGGAATCAGAAGTTGTTTATGTTGCTTGCATTGGGCCTATCACCAGCTATTAATATATCACTCACCACAAGATAAGGTGGACTCACCATGGGGATGTGGCCCTTCAGTGGACTTGCCCCTTTGTCTCCAAGGGATCCCAGAGAGTAACGAACAAACTGGCTGTCCTCCCTGTCAATCTATCCATATTGGGCTCTGCAAGGTTCCAACTTTTTGCTTTTCCTTCTCAGTGTTTATGTGAAGCCATTAGAGATAACCAAGTTGTTCTGTGGCTGCAGTGTTGTCACTATGCTGATGCTCAGTGCTACTGGACTTTTTCATTGAACCCAGAGTCTTTACGGCCTCACTCTCCCAGTGTCTGAGAGGGGTGGTGATATGAAGTAAGTATTTATAACAATCGGGGGGCGGGGGTGGCTCCCCACCTATGGAGAATGTCTACCAGTCCTTCTGCTCAAATGTTTAGCCGCCTCAGCATCTGCCATGATCCAGCATTACCCTGGATTCTCAGATAACTGATGGAGTCCATGTTACTGACAACCATCTACTTCAGGCCATGAGGCTACTGCCATTCCTCTCGAGTGTGCACCACACAATGGTCACTCATGTTTTTGTTACCTCCAGACTTCATCAACACAGGATGCAGCTGTGCTCAATCCTTGTCAACGGCCCCCTATTTGCTTTTAAGTACAATATAATTTCCGGTATTTGTAGTGATCCTTAAGGACCTGAAAGCACTGGGACCCCAGTTTATGAGTGACTGCCATCTTCCCCTCTATGCCCCATCGCTGAAATTACATGGCTTTTACTGTTGATCTGACTTCATGGCTGGTGCAGTTCTCACAGTCTGTTCCCAAAGGAAGCCCATCACAGCCAGAGTCAAGTAACTCTCAGGACACAAATTAAGGCTCATTAGTTTTAATATCGGATGGCTTTTTAGCTAATTTGTGTTTTAATATCTGTGACTGAGGAACCTAGTTGTGACAGATATTATTGAAAGTTGTACAAAAAAGACACTGGATCATCAGAGGTCACCATGGGATATTTGATGCGAGCCCACTTCTTTCTCTACCGTAGATCAAGTAGATCCTGTGCAACCCAGTCGGTCTCCCTAAGTTGCCAGTTTTGGCTCTCTTTCCCCAAATGCCTAAAAATTCTCACAAAATGCCTAAGCCGAATGCTGCTAATTGCAGGTGGTTTGATGCCACCATAAGCTAGGCTCACGGTGGCAGTGTTTCAGGAAGAATTAGGTGGGGAGGACAGAGAGGTTTTATAAGTTTTTATTCCTTCAGAGAGAAATTAAATACTTAAAAAAAAAATCTGTGTGCAATTTCGAAGCCAATTTCCAGGATGTTGCCCCATTCTCCAATCAAGAGAAGGATTTAACCACAGGGAGTCTGCTGATGTCTACCACCTTCTGCATCTCTGAAATAAGGATTTCACACAGACAGCCACCTGCTTGCAAGGTGGCCGGCTGCAGACTATTAGGCCCTGATGCAGCAAAGTGCTTAAGCACTTAACTATAAGTGCATGAACAATTCCATTGATGTGATCCGGATTACTTTGCTGTATCAAGGGCTTATACTTTACTGGGATGGCAAATGTTATTAGGGTGCCCATGGTCTGGACTCCTCTCCTATTCTGAAGTTGCTGCTGTTGGTGTATGGGCGGCTGTTGACCCATTCATCATTCTGGATTTATGAAGTTCATTATTGAGCAGATAATATTTGGTCTCCCTACCTCTCCTCCCCATGAATTCTCTGGTGTGGTGGCCATGAGAGGAGTTGTTGCTGGGACTGCACATCAGCCCTATCCTCTGGAAGGACTTTAAGGACACGAGAAGTATATTTCTTGCTCTTTGGTGATACATTGTTGGGTTTCCCTCTTTTTCTTGGGTTGGATGATGTATTGTACTAAGAGCAGTTGGACCGCCTTGCTTCCTTGAATCTGCTGTTGTTGGCTTAGGAGCAGTTGCTCTCTTCATCACACTCGTCTTCTTGAGAACAATATTTGCTCTATTGGGATTTGGTCCCCCCTCTCCCATAAAGTTGCTGTCACTGCTGTTCCACGAACTCTTGGAAGATCTGAAGGACTTTATAAGAGTAGAGAAACTCAATGTCCCTTGACCCTCAATCACGTTTGAACTTTTGTAGCTCTTATGAATCTTTTTGTTTGCAGAGGAGTATGGACAGTGTGAGGGTCAGAAGTCTGATACTTGCGGGACTCCGAATGTAGGGTTGTTTATCCCTTATGTAATCTGTTTTTTAAATATTAGGATATATCACAGGGTTACTAGTGGCCCAGGCGAATCAAGAGACACTCTCACTAGGGCAACCGATGCTTGATATTAACAAATATTCCTACATAATTTCATTCTGTTTCTTATTTAAGGGCATTTTTTTAAGTTTTCATTTTTCTAGGCTTCTTTTGTTAATCAGAAATTGAAATGTCTTCAGAGAGGCACTTAAATGAAAGGACACACGGAGAGACATTTATCGTTCCTGGCTCTGCGAAAGTCATAATGAGACTCCCTCAGTTTTTCCTTAAGAACAGCCATACTGGGTCAGACCAAAGGTCCATCCAGCCCAGTATCCTGTCTGCTGACAGTGGCCAATGCCAGGTGCCCCAGAGTGAGTGAACCTAACAGGTAATGATCAAGTGATCTCTCTCCTGCCATCCATCTCCACCCTCTGACAAACAGAGGCTAGGAAAACCATTCC